CCCCAAAACCCCAAAACCCCATCATCCATGATTGATAATAATCAAAGATCTAGTCTAGACTATTAAAATATTGTAATTATTAATATTCAGAGTTAAAATGGATATAAACAATTAGAGCGACTAAAACCAAGAAAAATACACTTCTCCTAAAAAGGTCAACTATGACTTTAACCTGAGTGAGGATCTGAATACAAGCAATCAAAAGTTAGTTAAGTAGAAACCATCTTAGGAGGCACCATATATTGACATTGAATTAGACAATTGGAATGTCTTATAGAAGCTTAAAGAATATCGAAAGAAAGATAAGAAAATAAAGGGAAGGGTTGATACTGAATTGAGTCAGAGTGCTAAGCATAGCAACGAGGATAGAGGCAAGCTGGATCAGGATAGATCAAAGAGCAACAGGATCATTCAATCAGATAATTCCTCATCATCAAAGGAATAGGTAAATAAGATATTAGAAGAGTTAGAAAAAATTCAGAAAGTAGATAGCATAAAGACAAAGTCAAAAGCTCTCAAGCTTAAGAAAAATGTTCTCGATGGAAAAAACAAAGGTGTAATGATTAATGAGGACTCGACAGAAAAGAGCTACTTTGGAAATAATGCTGAGAATTACTTAGATACTCAACGGAGAATCAACATAGGCGTGACAGGAAATGAATCAGTTACAAAAGTTAATTCCTTTGATGGTCATAAGGATGAGAAGTTATCATCCCATTCTAGTGAGAGCTAACCCAAAAAATAAGGTAAATTATTAAGGTTATAAAATTCATTATTTATAGGCTGCTTCAAAAAGGTGAAGGGATGCTGTACTAAATTAGGTGAATCATTGAATAAAGTACTTAATATTTCATAGCCATCTGAAGGGAATATATGGATAGAATCGATCCTTAAAAATAGGTAAGAGTTCAAGCCTTGGAAAGAAATGAATAAAATTGAAAGGAAGGAGAAGATAAAGTATTTGTGGGGACAGATAAGAAGATATTTCTGGTAGTAAGTCATCATCATTAGAATGAAGACTGCATTGTAAAGTGAAGTTAGAGTTGAGCTTGTTGATGATGACAGAGGAGATGAAGGAAATAGTGACGATAACCTAGCATCATTCTATCCATAGATAAAAGCTAAATGGTATTTGATAAATGAAAGCTATACAATGCCTTAAGCTTGGTCATTCATGATGTACATCTTCACTATATACACACTGTTTGCAACCCCTTATATGTAAGAATCTCACCTGTCTTAATAAATAAAATAGATTAGTGTTTCCAGAGTATTATTCGAAAGTTAAAACGATGGAACTAGTTAATGATGTCGTATTCACAATTGATATTATTTTATCTCTTTTCAAAATAAAAGGTGAGATGACGACATTTAAACAGACATCCATCAATTATCTCACGTAAATACAAATTTATCATATATAATATTACAGAGGGTATTTCATATTTGATTTCTTGTCAGTTGTACCATCATACATATCATATGAATCAAAGTCATTATACATTTTCAAACTAGCGAGATTTGTCCATACTAACAGGCTTTTCAGCTTATTCAAATTTATACTGGTTAAATTTTTACTTAATCGAGGATACAATCGTATGAAGGTTTAAGATTATGCGAGCTTGTTGACTCTCATGATATTTGTTATATTCATAACACATATACTGGCTTGTATTTGGATCTATTTTGGTAGATTCGATGATTAACTGCCACGAGAACGACGGAAAACTTGGATATATAAAGATCCGACAGCGTTTGATGAGACGAATTTAATATCATTGTACATTTTTTCCATATACTTCATTCTATAAACTTTGACCACAGTTGGTTATGGAGATCATACTGGATGTGTTAGAGACGAATACATTTTTTGTATGTGCTTAGAGGTAAGTTTAAACATTTTAAATTATCATTTAGTTTATTGGATTGAGTTTATTCTCATTTTTAATGGGTAGCATTAACAACATGATAAGCAAGGATGATAGCTTTGAAAGTTTGTTAGATTAGAAAATTTCAATGCTGGATATTTGGATTAAGAAAATTGAGAAGTCAAACAAGCCTAATTTTATACCACCAGAATTATATAGCTAAATAAAAAAATATGTACAGGATGCTTTCCTTCATGACTTTAATTTGATCATCGAAGAATTCCCATTTTATCATCAATGTTCGCCTAAGATGCAATCCGAGCTCACCTAGATCATCTTCAAAGACTTTTAATAGCAATTCAATCACTTTTTTTAGTACTGTGAGAGAGGATTCATCAATGAATTCATTATCAATATGTATTGCAGAATTTACTAGCCAGAGACTACAGTTGTTTAGTATGGCTAAAAGTTAAGAGAAATTTTCTTCATAAGAGAAGGATGCGCTTTGATGTATAATAAATTTGAAGTAAAAGATTTTATGATGCTCCCTTAATATGGAGTATTTGGGGATTACTAAATTATTTATGACCTGAAATCAAATATTACAATGAAAACTCCACCTACTGGGTAAGATGTCAGATTTATGTGCATAAGCAAAAAGGTGTTTTTAAACTTATGCGAACTTTTCCCAACAACAGCTGAAAATCTAAGAGTATTATCACTAAAGAGAAGATATCACTTCATTCAAGCTATGGAGTTATAGGATATGAGCAGTCCATTGAAAGCTCTTCATAGATCAATTAAGAAAAGAATTAAGCAGAAAGCGGATGATGACTCTAAGAATCCGTCACCTCATCAAACTAGTCGTAAGGAAAGTATTCTAAGTGATTAAATAGAAATTGTTGATGAAGATGCGCTTGAATAATTCTTTTCTGACGAGGAACCAAAATTAAGTATTGAAGATGAAGAGACTCCAGAAGTTGTTATTAAAAAAATCAGCAAAAAGACAACTAGGATCAATCTCTCAATGAATACTTGCTTAAGACACATGGACTATAACTTTGACTTGCTCAAGAAATACCTAAAAGAAGGAAGATCTAAAAATCCAGAGTCAGTAAAGCTTAAAAATTAGGTAACTGTGCTATCCGGAGTATTTTAATCGACCAATGTGATGAGAAGCACTACTTCTTAAGTCACAAGTCTTAATACAACGATGTAAGAGGGTTTAAAACATTAAGTGCATAAATATTCTTCCTTTACTCTAGACAATTAGCTTCTTTAATAGCAACAGACATTTGGAGAAGAAAAATTACCTACTTATTAGAATGAGCAGCAGAAATAGCAACCGTAAACTATTCCTAAAATAAGCTTTTTCAACATGGATAATGAAAATAAGTAACTAAAATGATTTAAAACATAGAAAAATATGATGAATGAATCTGTTAATTTTGATTTCATAAAAATTCAGCTGATTACTAGCTTATGGGGTTTTGGGGTTTTGGGGTTTTGGGG